AAAAGAATGGTCATTCAAGATAACTTTCTTTTCATGATATAGTAATAAAGACTGAATCAGTTTTAAAATTCATCCAGAAATACTATAACCTTTTAACTTGTGAAGAAGACCAATATACCAAATGCCTTCAAGATGTCCAAAGCAACAGCCTGATCTTCACTATTCTTATCTAAAACTTGATAGATTCCTTCAGCAATAATCGTTAATACATCAACAGTTAAACTAGAAAACTGAAAGCCATATTGCTTATCTGAAAGAAAATGCAAGATGCTTAACCAAATCAAAGTTGATTAAAGCCTCAATTACTTTGACAAAAAGTAGTAGAAAGCTAATAGGTTGATAGAAGGATAAGACGGTTCAACTGAGTTCTTAAAGACTGGAACTACAGAAGAGGATTTCCAACAAGCAGAAAAGCAAGAAACAGTAAGGTATTTATTGTAAAGTTTAGAGAAAACAGGAGCCAGTTCAGTAGAATGTTTATTAAGGACTATTGCTGGATATTTTGAAGGAACCACATATTTACCATAACATTCATCAGAGGTGGTATGTTTTTTGTTAATGGTTCAACATCTCATCTTTCCGACATTGTGTATATCTTTATTTATTATACATTATAGAGAACTAATAAACAAAGTTCATTTTTTTTATCAGAAATGATGATCAGATATAAAAATGGATCAATTTAGGACAATTGTGCATGTAAGTCTGCCTGTGTCTGATTTTTGTTCCTAATACAATTCAAATGGGGCATTTTTTATCATTTATTTTTTTTCCAATCACACTTAAGTGACTTGAAATGGTTCCAATCAATTCAATACAATTTGGTTTCTGGATCATTTTCAACTATAACTTTGAATCTTCATTATTAATTGAAGCTTTCACATTATCTCCGTCTTTTGATTTTTCTAAATAGAAATATCCTTTTTACACTATTTACATTGTTTGAATTGTTGTACTCATCTTTATTGTCATATTCGCAACATTTTGACCATTGTACACTCTGGCCTTCTTCAGGATTTGTCTATATTCCTGAGATGAGATATTGTAACTATTTACAGTATTTACATTGTTCAAACTGTTGTCCTCATCTTTATTGTCATATTCGCAACATTTCGGCCATCTATATGATTATTATTTTCTTCTTTCATTGTGAAATGAATCGAAGATCTTGTTGAGTTCACATGGCCCAGCAGTATTTGTACAGCTTCCTGATTTGGCCAGAGTACAAAGGTGTCATCTACGTATCTCATCCATACTATTACCTATATTGGTGATGTTCCTTGGCCTTTTCTATTGATTGTCCCACTTTCTATCTCAGCTCATCTGCCTGGGCCTTTAGGATCTTCAAGGCAATCTCCCCCACTGGAGCTATCATGTCTAAGTATGGAACTCACCCACGTTCCTACAGATGAAACACTGACAATGGTACTGGCAATGGATGATACTTGGACTGTAGAACCAATACAGACTTATAATATATATATATATATATATATATATATATATATATTATAAATTAGTTGATTTAAAATATGGTTTTTCCGTTACACAGTTCTAACCATGTTTCAAAAATGGAAGGTCCAAATTTAATTTTGTAATTAAATTAAAGACCTTAGTTCCATTTCATCCTCAAGCGAATATCTATAAGAACACCAGATTATATATCTTACTGTTCTTTCTTTTTTATTTATATATACATATATATATATATATATATATATATATATATATATATATATATATATATACAGGGTTCGTGTGCACTTTAAAAAATTTATAACTTCATTTGTATTTGCAATAGAAATAATCTGTAAAAATGTTATAAAGTTTAATGTACCTAGTTTTAAGTATAGCTAAAATAACTAATGCGATTTCAGGCATTACTGTAAATCAGTTGGTAAATGTTATCCATGAACTGCAAAATCATATTACCCTTTGTATTGCTAATGATGGAGAATATGTGGAAACTTAAATAAAATTTCAATAAAACCTTTAAAAAATATAGATTTACTTCTTTCTAATCCTTTTTACAAATTATTTCTATTGCAAATAAATTTTTTAAAGTGCACATGAACTTTATGGACACCCTGTGTATATATATATATATATATATATATATATATATATATATATATATATATATATCCTTGCAAATAGACACAGACAGTAAAAAATGACTTGTCATTCATCTGTATTTACTAGTTGTAACTCATACATAATTCAAGGTTTTTGAACATGACTGGATTCAGCATATGCAAGTGGTTATTTCTATTGGGCAACTTATGTGACAAATACTTAAGACAGACAAGATATCAATGAAAAATTAACTCAAGGAAGATTGGATATTTTTATTAGATATAGATAAAGACAATGTAAATCTAAATCAACATTGCATGGAGACTGTCAGTTTCACTTCTCAAGAAATAGTTTTAACTTCTATTTCTATACTGTCTGTATCTCTAAATATTATTTTCAGTACTCAACTCCTATAAAATGGAATTCACAGTTTTAAAAGTAACAGATTGTTTATTCAAACAACTGTATCCACTAAAATATAATGTTTATAGTTGTAGTAGTGGCTGGTTAGTGCTACCACTAATTAGCATATGAGCATGATTAGACATTATGTATAGGCTCACTACATAAGGTAGTGGCAATAGTATTTGAACTGTGTGAACGGTGCCACAGCCTGTTTGGCTGTCAAACTCTCCGCCTCGGTGGAGAGGAACCCAGACAAAGTTTTGCCGAAGGGCAAAGTTTCGTCTGGGGCGGTAGACAGATCCTGAACCAGCTTATGCAGGTTCTAAGGGAATATTTTTGGCCAAGCCTATGGGCTCAGAGAAACACATATTAAACTCGGCCTTGTACCACATACATTCCTCGTGGGAGGACTGTTAAATATAATGGTATTTGAACTGTAGGACCAATACAGACTGCATACAACTGAAATCCCTACTTGGAATTTCAGTGTTAAAATAAAATTATCCATATTGCTAGTATAATGGATCAAGGTAGAATGTCTCTTTTGTGGGTGAGGGAGTGACCTGAAGGATAGGAGAATTGGCATTGAATTTTGTACCAGGTCAGTTGACTGAGAGGTCACTGGTGAACTCCATGAACTGCCTATCTACTGCCTAGAATATTGCCGGGTGTTTTTTTTTAAGTAGTTAGGGTGGATACATGACTCAGCGTTTTTCTGTCATGGCTTTGCTTTAACATGTGAGAAAATGAAATAAAACCAATAAATAAACTAATAATAAAGAATTAAAAAAAAAAAATATTCATTTTCCCATGATGCAAATTATAAAAAAATTAGAAAGGGTTTCTGGTCACATGTGTGATTTTATGATCCCACTTCCAGAAAGGACTAAATCTTACTCTTTCCACTTTTTAATCTATATTGATATCATTCATGTTTTAGCAGCCCTACTCATGAAATAGAGATTTGGCCATCCCAACTCAGTGCAAGTGACTTGAGCTCGACCATCTTTACCTGTTCTCATCCTTACTTCCCATAAATTATTTCTGAACCAAAAAGGAAAACAGACATACTCAAGCAAGAGACATTTAACTTTGTTTCAATACAGTCAACATAAAAAAATAAATGTTTGTGATTGAAACTTAAGTTTTTTGTATGCTTCTTCTATCTTCTTTGTTTATATATTGAACACCCACCTTACCTAAACATACACACAACTCACAACCTTGTTAACTCCCACAAGCATGGTTTGGGATTTGCTCTGATGTTTAAATTTTATTTGATTGGGGGGGATTTATTTTGTGAACTGGATATGATGCTTGGAGCCCCTGCACAGAGAAAGATTTTTTCTTTTTTCTTTTGTAGTGTCCAAATTTAGTCAACAGCTTTTGATGTGGTGTGAATCAGTAAGATGTCTAATTTGAAGTAGAATATAATAGTAGCAAAGTGAACAAGTGCTCTCCTAAAACAGGACCATAGCAAAATTTTTATCAATTGTAGTATTTTTACAGGGTTTTATTTTAACAAAATACAATAAAGAAAGAAATACAAGAAAAAACTATCAAAGCAAGGAAGAACATTATTTCATAAAACCCCAATGAAAGAATTCTTCTTTAAAGGTGTATGATGATGGTAATTTCCCTTTATTGTGTGGGTGCATTTTCATTTTAATTTGAGATTGTGGTTAGTCCAATAAAATAAAATAAAATATAAAAATAAAAATGTACAAAGAAATAGAAAAGAATTCAAATTAAGACAAAGCATTTGCTTTCTCTTGAAATCCTTATCTCTCTTTTTATTTTTCACTCTATTTCTCTCTATATATTTCTCTCTCAAATAAAAAGAGGAAGAGGATGAAAAGACTAGCCCTGGCTGAAAAACACCAGATATTGATGGTTCAGCACCTAAATTATTTGTGGCAAAAAAACTAGGAAAAATGAAATACAATAAACGCAAAATTTCCGCTATAGAAAATAAAATAAAATAGGAAGGGAGCTCAAAAAAGAATTTCAGCCAATCAAATAATTTAACAAAAAGTGATTTGCATATCATTAGAGCCTCATCAAAAGGAATATAAACTGACTCTCGCAGACAGCGAGAAGGACTTGAAACAGCTAGGACTCAAGACAGAAGATACTAAGGATTAAGAACTAGACTGAAGTAATAGTAAAATGACCAACAACACATTTTTATAACAAAATGGCCAACAATACATTTTTAAAGTAAAAATGACCAACAGTACACTTTTATAGCAAAATGACCAATAATACATTTTTATAGCAAAATGACCAACAATACATTTTATCTGCAGTTGAAGTTGTAGCTGTGTTCAAAATATTTACATTTCAGTATTAAATAACTCATAAAAGTTGATATACCGCTAAACAAAATCAACCAACGAACATTATGGTCCAATATGAAATCATACAAGTAGAAAATTTTTTAAAAAATCATTATATAGCTTTCAATATTTACTTAAATTATTATTACTATTTATGTGCCACGTCTCTTCAGGATGAGCTTATGACCACATCAGGTTGAAAAACCAATTCCCATACAATCACCAAAGTTAAGCAAGATTGTGCCTGGTCAATACCTAGATAGGGGACTACTTGGTAATATCAGGTGCTGTAAGCTTGAATGTGCAGTTGGGGCAATGGATAATCACTTAGAATTATCAATAAGAGAGCCGAGTTCCAATTTCTTATTTGGTTCATTATACACACTTATGTGCAAATACTCTTGGAAAAGGTCTAAATCCATCTCTTTTCCCCGCAGCTATGAGTTAATTAGTAAGACTTGTATCACTAAATCATTATTATCTCAAAAAAATTCTTAATACTAAAACTATTTTCTGGTAGAGTTGATAAGCTGTAAAAATTGAATCAATCAATAAAAACCCTGGGTAATAATGGCTTTCCACAACTTCCTGTTCTTTGTAACTCCAAGCAACATTTGACACTTTATCATCTTTCTATGTCCCTGGTTTACCTTCCGTTCATTCATTAGATAAGTTGCTCACTGTTCCTTTTCCTTGAGCATCCTTCAATACATCCTGTGAGTATTAAATTTTCTATGCCATCCTTCCTCATATCCCAGAAATTTAAACTATTTCTGATTATGATATGAGTGTCTTTCCTGTTACCATTTTCTTTAGAACTTCCTCATTGTTCACATGTTCTGTCCATAGTATTCTCAGCAACCATTTATAGAACCACATCTCTATTGCTTCGATTCTCTTTTTCATTTGTAAAGAAATTGTTCAGCATTCTCTTCCACACAGGAGCATATGACACAGCAGTTCAGCACTCTTTTCTTTGTATGTAATAAAATATCCCTATGTCTTAATACTTTGCTTAGCTTCAAAAAAGCTCTTTTACTATTCAGAGGCACCATCAGATCTTTATATCATACTTGCTATTGTCTGTTACTGCATTACACAAATAGTTACATTTCATCACCTGCTTGATTCTGAAAAATAAATATTATTTTCTGAATAGTCAAGAAATAATAACATTTATTTAAAATTTCAATTAAAAGTTTGTTTTTGTTCTGATAGAAAATTTCTAAAAATACTAGATTTAAAATCAACAATTTCCTGTTGAAAAATACAAAACATTTTTTTAATCATTTCACCCTAAGCAAGGCAGGAATGCCACTAGTATGCAAGGGGTTACAGGGAGTGAAAATGAAAGAAAAGACTGAGTATAAGGAGGCTTGAGGAAAGGACAAAAGATGAATGGGATTCAAGAAGATAGAAGATGGCAAGTGACATTGCATTTAAATTTTTAAAGATTGTAGTTAGCAAAAAAGCAAGCAAATGGAAGGGAGTTGCACAGGCAGAAAGTGCAAGAAAAGAAACTTTAAAAATAGAAGTGGCAGTTATATTGAACGTTGTGACCTAAATGCCAATCTAGTAGCGTGATTTAAATTCATGCAGTTGAGGCACCAGAGAAAAAAGCTTGTCAGAGCAGTTGCCATGAAAATATTTGTAGAAAAGACATCACATCAGTGAGAAAGTGACTGAAGTCAAGAAACCAAGCCAGGATCGATTACATTACATATCCTTTGGATTTTGTCAAGAACATCAAGATGAATAGCAGGAGTACCAGACTAGATATGTCAGCAGTAAGCTAATAATATTTCAAATGTCTCATGTTAAATACCATAACAGTTCATAGTTCATAGTTCTGTAATTTTAAAGGGGAAATACAAGAATGGTCAGCAGTTGGCCAGAGGAACTCATGAGCAGGGCATTCTGACAGTTACAGATTGCCTTTGTCTGGGTTTTGAATATAAGTCCAAAACAGTGCAAATTCAACAGAGGGTCTTGAGAATTCTAACAGATTGATTGCCTCCCACACCCAGGTTTGCAACAGGCTAATACCACCCATGGAGGGACACTGAGCCAATGTGCAACATGCATTCCTGTGACATCAGTTCTCCTACTGCCTCTCAGAATCCAAGCTGCAACTCTTAATAACACAAATATCAAAAATAAATTACACTTTTTGTTGATACCGTTTTTATTAATAGTGTGGGAATCACAAGATGACACATGACACTCATTCACACTGAGATTTCAAACTAAACCTAACAGTTGCTCTCCAAAATGACCTATAATTATTTGTTAACTGTAAATTTTAATGCCTTCAAAACAAAATCTCTATTTCTTAATCATAGCTAAAGCCTGGGCTGTCTTAAATAAAATGGATATAATCTAGTTACAGAGAGTTGGAGCGAGAGCAAATAGGAGTGATAGAGGAAAGGATGAAGAAAAGGATGGGGGATAGATCAAGGCATCTGGAGACGTCAATTGACATTACATTTGAATAGTTGGAGATTATAGCTGGAAACAGGAAAAGGGGAGGGAGTTCCACAGGCGAGAGGTGTGAGACATGAAGCTACTGGAGTAGAAGAGACAGCTACATTTAACAGTTTCAATAGTGAAAGGGTGAGAGTGAGATGCCAGCCTAGTAGAACGATTCATGAAGTCTGGGAACCAGCGAAAGCAGCTCATCCGAGCAGTTATCATGAAAGTATTTGTAAAAACGACAGAGGGAGGCGACAGCATGTCTGTGAGAGAGTGACTGCAGACAAAATGCCAGATCAGGGCCAATTACATTGCATATTTGTCTCTAGATTTTATCAAAAACCTTGAGACAAAGAGAAGGGGCTCCAGACCATATATGGCAGCAATACTCCATGGTCCAATTCTACTATGCTCTCTATTCATCAGAATTCAGATAAGATTTGTTCTGTGACTTACTAGGATTGTCTGATAGAGTTCACATTTGTTTGCACTTGCCTTCTTAGGCAGTCCTATGAAAATGAATTTACTTAAGTTTTCCAGTATATCACCACTGTTGTATATTTCATTTATTATATCCATAATCTTGTCAATGCCGAAATCATCTAAAGTTGCCAGTATCTCGATTACAATTCCACCTGGTTTTGTTGATTTATTTCTACTCAATTTGTCTAGCATTGATTTCCCTTGAGATTTTAATATTTCTGGTCCTTCCATATTTCTGTGTATAGTGAAATCAATATTTTCTTAATTCTTTACTTTTATTAGAAATGTTTCATATATAAGTCTATATTATTATCTAAAAACACTTATTCCACTTGTTGCATATTACACAGCAACATGATATTCTCATATTAATTTTTTGAGCCTGCTCTTCCTGGCTGGCTCAAGGCAGGTTGGAAGAGAATGTTTGAAGATTTTCTCATAGTAGGTTGTCAGTTGTTTCTGCGTCAGACTGGTTACCAACCAAAGCTATAGAACCCAGTCTGTCCTGCTATTCAACCCATAGTTGGGGGAAAAGAGATGGATTCATACCTTTTCTAAGGGTATTTATGTGTAAGTGAATGTAACAAAGTTGACTGGAATTTGAACTTGGCTTTTCGATTTCTCATTCTGAGCCAATATCCATTACATCACAATATACATCCTATATTATTTATGCTTTCCTGTTAATGTTTTTTGATGGAATCAATTTTTTGTTTTCACCTTAAACAATCAGCAGTCATACCTGTGGCAGTGCAAGTTAACACCTGTACAGCAAAAAGTTACAGAAAAAAACACACACACAAATTCACTGGGTGAGGTGATGCTGAAATGATAGCAAATTGATAAAAAAGGGATTAAAAAAAAAAATTCTCATGTTCGATCATTGGGTAAGAGTTTTGGAAGTGGGTCAGTCCAAGGACATTTCAGCACCCCGTACCCCTGTAATAGTTTTCTTAAAAAAATATATAAAGCTTATTTGTTGCTGCTTGTCTGAAATCATGATTACTGATTTGTCATATTTTGTCAAATGTTGTTATAAACGCCCAGTTACCACCAGTCCATGACAAATGCACACTTGAGTAATTTTTAAAAACATTATATTTTTTGCACTAAATTCAAACAATGAGTCAAAACTAAAATTAGGCAATTATGAATTTTTCAATCAGTTCAACCATCTGAATTTTAGTTGCTTCTCAATGCAGCTTAGAAATGTTTCATATGTAAGCCATTATTTATAACTGTCAACCATAGAATTACTTACTAATGTTGAAATAAAAAGCTGGTTAAATCAAAATGAAAGATACACCAGCTAAAATTTAATAAAAAATTGAAAATACTAAGAAATTTAAATAATGTAGTGGTATATGGGTTCACATCTGAACATGTGGACAGATAGGATCACATGTACACATCAAGTGCTCCAGACCAACTGCAATCTTCAGCTAAGGACTGTGCTTCAGAAAAGTTTCAGCTCATTAAGCTCAGTATCTCTCCACATGGGCCCACAACAGCTGGATGATGTTATGTTGCAACCTGTCTATGTTGTTAGCTGGATGTGACTTGATATGAATTTCTGGGTAATCCATGCACTGACTTACACCACTTTCTCACTACAAGTCTTTATTACCTTATTCGACTTTTGGATAACAGAACACTTGAGGAATCTCTTTAAGGAAGCAGCAGGAAATCCTCTACTGCCAACCTCAAACAGCCCCAGGGTGCAGCCATATCCTCTCTCATGGACTTCAGCCACCAGTTCTTCATACTGAAGCAACGTTCTTTCATGAGCCTCTTCAATACCTCTTCCCATGCCACGGTCAGTTTGCCAAGCAACAGATGTTGCTTCTCGCTATCAATTAATAATAGATATGGCCTCAGTCCAGACCCAATAACCTCCACTGGCAGTGTAGCATCAACCAACACTCTCCACTTCCTTGAGTCCTCCGATCTGGTCTTCTGCCTTGTGTCAGTCACACCTTGCTTCAGGAAGGCAATCCTTCGCAGTTTCATCGAGGGTATACTAGCACTTCTCGAAGCTGCTGCCACAACTTCCCTTAACCAGGTATTGAACTCACACTCTTTGGGTCCTGTCACTGGATCTAACCAACGCCTTTATCCACTCAAGGACACATGGCACAGTTCAATACCCGGTTAAGGCAGTGGGGAACTTAGAGAGGGGAATTAACAGGAGATAACTGATAACTGACAGCCATCAAACATGGCACGTGGAACTAGAACAGTCTACCCCAGTGAGCATAATAAAGGGTTCGGTTCAACATTCCAACCACCTGAAGAAGGCCAGAGCATACAACAGCCGAAACATTGTGATAGATATGGCG